TTTTTTTTTTTTTTTTTTTTTTTTTTTTTTTTTTTATAAAACAAAACAAGTTGCATAAATTTTTTTTTTGGGGGGGGGGGGGTTTACAATAAAATACACTAAAAATACAATTTGAATAAAAACATCATAAAATCAAATAAAATGTAAAATAAAAATTCTAGGCAGCAGCAAGGCAATAATTCAAAATTAAAGCAATACAAATTAAAATATAAATTAGAAGTTTGGAAAAATAGAAAAGTCTTCACATGGCATTGAAATGGTACTAATGTAGACACCTGTGAAGCCGTTCTGGGGAGGGAGTTCCACAAGTGGGGTGCCACCACAAAAATTCTCTCTTGTAGAGGCCCACATTACCTTTTAGGGTCTAGGTAGATACATCTGAGAGAAAGTGCTCTGTCAGGTAACCTGGTCCTAAGCCATTTAGGACTTAAAGGCCAAAACCAACATTTTGAATTGGGTCTGGAAACAGATCAACAGCCAAATGTACAGTAGATGGCAAAGAACTGGTATAATGGGCTTGTATTGGCCAGCTCCAGTGAGCAGTCTAGCCACTCTATTTCAGACTAACTAAAGATTCTGGACTGTATTCTAAGGTAGCCCCACGCATAACACATTGCAGTAATCCAACCAGGAAATGTGAATAACTGGTGTCTAGGTAAGGTTACAGTTGGTAAATCAACTGAAGCTGATAAAAGGCACTCTGTGCCAGCAAGGCCATGTGGGCCTATAGTGACAGGGATGGATCTAGGAGCACCCCAAACTGCAAACCCGTTCCTTTAGAGCAACTGCAGAGCTAGCAGTTGTACCATTCACAAACACAACCTCAGTTGATTGGCCCTCATCCAGTCTGTTATCTTGCCCAAGCACTAGTTTGGAATACCAACTGCCTCACCTATGTTAGGTGAAAAGGAGAGGAAGAGCTTGGTGTCATCCATATATTGATGGCATCTCAGCCCACATCACATCTCCCAGCAGTTTAATGTAGATGTTAAAGAGCATAGGGGATAAAATGGGGCCTTGAAGGAGTCCACAGCCATAAAAACGAATATAATGCATGGATCTTCATGATTTTGATTTTTACACAGCATCCACATAAAACTACCATCAAATCAGATTTCTGCATTCACTCAGCCATTACAGGTACGGTACCAACTGGTTTTGATGCTACCTGGATGCAAAAGCCCTGGCCTGAGTTGGATCATCATGGATTCCAATGAAATTCACATTTACATGAAACCACAATCACAAGAAATCAATCTGCATGGAATTAGCCATAAAATAAATCCCATAATTTAATCTTACAACTGGTCTTCCTATGATTTGCTTCAAGAAATCACTTGTTTCCCTAGGCTCATTTTGGTAATTATCAGGTGTTCCACGCTGCTTCCCGTACCTTAAGCATCTTGGGCATTTCTCCAAATGAAGACTGATTGACCAATTGACCAGTCAGTGCTTAAGCCATAAACATTTGATGTAAATGTCACCAAAAAAATGTACATTTAAATGGGATCCACTTAAAAATTTCAAACTGCAGATTACACCTATTTGTGGCCAATGAATTATTTCTGATGCCCTTGTGCAAACATGTAAAATTGAGGCTTGGACCCTATCAAGTCATAAGTTTTTTTCACAGGGTATGTCTGCACTAAATACATTTTAAAAAGCATAAAAATACAGACCCAAGACACAGATCGATGTGCCTTTCAAATCCAGAAGCAATTATTAGGAGCCAGTGTGGAGTGGTGAAGGCACTGGGTTTGCACCAGGGCAGTCCAGGTTCTAGTCTATCTTCAGCTACAGAAGGTAACTGGTGCCATTGGGCCAACCTACTTTGCAGGGTAGTTGTGAGGAAGCGCTATGTAGCTTGCCTTCAACTTCAGAACAGAAGATAGGAGATAAATCTAACAAACCACTCTCCTGATGGCAAGACAAACTAGATGGGCTGTCCATTTAGTCAACAGGAATTAAGGGAGCCTTGCTTTTTAGAGAAAGCATCAACTATGTTTGAAAAATAAATAATGGCAAGCAAAGAAGAGACTCAAGTAGAACCATTCCTGTCTTTAGGTGCTAGCTTTTCAACTATGCAATAGGCTCCCCACCCCCACGGCCAGTTCAAACATTAAAGAACTAGCTACGTTCCAGCCCCGAATTCTACCCGGCTTCGTCCGATGCAGCAGCGCCACGAGTCGCTGTTAGCTCCTCCCTTGGCTGGAGGCGCTGTTGCGGTCTCCTGCTTCCCCCGCCGTGACTCGCTTTTTTGAGTTGCTTCCGCCGGCCCAAGAAGGGAGGGAGGACGTGTGCGCTGCCTCCAGCGTTTGAACATGCTCTCGCGGGGAATGCTGCGGGCGAGCGTGGTTGCTGCTCGCCGACACAGGAAGGAGCGGTATTCCTCGGCGAAGGGCCAGGTGAGTGTGAACCGGTGGAGAAGATGGAACCGTTGCTCTGCCGCGTTTCGTGTCCCTCCCGGAATATCCACTTGGGTGGAGTCCTGTCGACTTAGCGATGCGGGTCTCAGCTAGCTTTGCTGCGCCAATAAAATCAAGAAGAAGATTTAGACCTCATTTCCGGTTTTAATGGAAAGGTGCGCTTTTCTTCCTTTTTTTCATTGTGGGGAGAGAAGTGGGCGCCGGGGTTTTTTGCAGGAAACAGAGCAAATGTCTGGGTTTTAGGCGATTTCTTCTCACTTCACATACCGAAGGTCTAAGTGATGTGAAAGATGCGTGTTGCAAATAATCGCTTGCCCCTGAAATCAGGCTACCTTAGAGACTTGATAAGATTAACTTTAATGTACGTGATCAAAATATAACTCTGCAGATTTTGCCTACTTAATATTTACGCATATTTCTCTCTCTCTCTCTTACATGCCATAATCAGAAAGAGTCAACGTCAGAAAAAAAGCTTCAGAAGCAAATATGCCAGGTTGTTCTTAATCATTTTGAGGAACAATACTCCAAAGAATTGGGAGGAGCATGGAATTCAGTCAGGTTAATTTTTGTTTTGTTTTCTTCCTACTCTTTCCTCCCAACCCCCATTCCATCCTTTTTTAAATAATTAAAATTGTACCTGTCCACAAAATGCCAAAAGTATTTACTTTTCCAATGTTTTTTTTAAACGTCAGATTTTTTTGTTTAAATGTGGAACTATAGAGTCAAGTTGATGGTATATAATCAATCAATATAAAATAGAGTTGGTAAAAAAATTCTCCTCTTTAAGGGCCATACTCTAATTCACTATTTCCCAATATAATATTTAGGAATATAGTTCCCATCATTTCCCAGGCGATATAGTTCCTGGGAGACACAAGAATTGGCAGCTTTCCATATGGCAGTCATTTGACATGTATCCAGACCTTATGATTTGTTGTAAGATGATCATTACAGCTTGAAAAAGATTGGGCTTTTTTCTCCTTATGAACAAAACGTGGATTTTTAAAATAAATGCTTTGATTGCTTTTGATAAGGATCCATCAAGGGGCAGAATTGCTCTAGTAGCTGGATCTACAATCTCCTAGCAAATTCTCTCTGATATGAAAGACTGGAAAGACAATCTAACCAAAAGAAACAGAATTCCAGGGTCAGAATCTCTGAAAAGTGAAATGCCCTACAAGTTGGAAGCCGCAAAAAACAGTATTTTTTGTATTTTGTATTTCATTTTCCAGATGGCTTCAATGCTAGGGCTGTTTTAGGTTAGACCCTAATTAGAAAAGAGGACCAGGGGATCCAAGCCCCTTCCCAGCCCTCCACAGATCCCCTTCCTTTTGCTTATTACAGATATCAAGGATCCCCATATTGGAGAGAATTATATTCAGAATCCTTGGAAAGAGTAAAGAAGCATTTTCCTCCCATGAAATTGGAGGTTGTGTATGTGTTGAGGAGGAGGGTAATTGAGGAATTTATTGTCCCATCATAAGATTATACCTTTAATATAGAAATATCTATTTTAAAAATTGGGCTTAATAGGTTTCTGGATTGGGTCCACAAATTGATTGGAAAGCTCAACTAGAACTAAACCTTACAGTGATTTCAATGCTAGGGTTTCCTCTTACATTATTTTATTTATTTATTTACTTATTTATTTATTTATTTTTAAATTTGTGTGCTGCCCATCTCCCCCAACAGATGACTCTGGGCAGCTCACAATTAAAGTAAAAAACCCATAAGAATTTTAAAATACCCCATAAATAATTAAGAATAGTTAATCCGTTAAAAATCAACTATAAAAACAAGCCCTATACATAAATACTATAAACATTCTGGGGCACAGTCAATTACTCCACAAGCCACCTCCACTGGTGTGAGCTCCCATCCGGCCCCCAGGCCTTCTGGCATAGCCAGGATTTCACACCTTTCCTGAAGGCCATGAGAGTGGGGGCACACCACACCTCGGGAACATTACATATTCAAATATTTGCAGAATATTTTTCCTTTGCTTGTGGATTACACAAACCAATGTGTGTATCTGCTTTAGGTTTTCTGAAATAGAAGAAGAAAGCTAACTTTGTCCTAGCATGTTTCACTTTAGAAAATGTCATGAGCTTGGGCACGGTTCTTAGTTTGAATGGCACCCCAGTCACAACACTGCTCTATCACATATAATTAAGATGTGCCAGGAAAGAAAAGAAGTATGCTGTAGATCAGTGTTTCTCAACCTTGACAACTCTAAGATGAGTGGACTTAAAGTCCCAGAATTCCCCAGCCAGCATAATGATTAAAGAATAGTGGCTCAAATATTACATGATTGTGGTAAACAGACCCTTGGCAATACTATTTTGTTCCACCGTCCCAGTATTATGTGTTTTATCTAATTGTATCAGAGATGTGCGGCCTTTTTTCAGACCAAGGGTCATATTTGACATTTGAATGGCAAGCTGGGAGCTGCTCTCCAAAAGTTAGGCAGAGCCCGGACAAATGTTACATAAATTTGATTCAATTAAATTCAAATTTGATTACAATTAAAACCATTAAACATAATATGATCAGTCTGTTCAGTTGCACAGTGTTCTTCTTCTCCATGGGCTGCGCCCAAGGTTTTGGGAGGACAGCATGAAGGTTGTCCAATATGTATTTATATCCTGCCTTATTTTTGTTCACCTAAGGCTGGCTACACAATGACTGGTCCAAGTTCAACCATTGGTTGACTTTTGCACAACTCATTTGACCAGGCCATTTAAAGACCTTGTAGCTGCATGTGCTTAATAATCAAAAGTGTGCTGCCTTGAGGTTCTGAACAGATTAACAAATTAATTAAAAAAAAAGGTTTGGGTTTCTTTTATGCAATCCCAGCTTGTTAGATTAATTAATTCATCACTGTGTGAATGCAGAAAATGAATTAACTCAGTAACCAAGTTAAGCAAGTCATATAAAAACAGCCAGTAAATTCCAGGAGAATTGAACCTTGATCATTTCATCCTTAAACCAACAGACTAACCACTATTCCACCTCTTCACTACAGTGAGTTTCTTATAAGGCTTTAATGATAAGAAAATAAATTGGGTAGCAAGTGAAAAAAGGCATTAATTTTTCCTGATTTCAAGGCCACATTCTGGAAATCAACTTTGTGCATACACTTTCAGAGTGGCTTTTTTCAGATGAAAAGTGAAGTCCAATATGCTGTTCTGCTTTAATTGCTCTCATGTGTAACTGAATCTAGAAATTAATGGTGGTCCATCAGTTTAGAATAAACCTCTAACCTTCAAGATACAACTACTCATATTAACACATTGTTGCATTCTTACATATCATTGCATACCTTTTTTTTTCTTTCATCTGCAGGGAAGTGCTTACAACACCATTGAACTGGCAATATGCAGTCCTCCTTAATAAATTCAATTACTCCTCTGAAATGGAATCTTATTTGGGTTTAAAGGACTATCGCCTCCTTTTCCCAAGAACCTCATCCTCTTTTCCACAGTCATTGAAGTGTTACATCAGTGATGCTCCTGGTAGATTCCCTGCTCAGAAACATAGAGATGGACAATTGAAGGAGTATTACTTGCTGAATGCTGCCTCTCTGCTGGCAGTACTGGCCCTGGAAGTAAAGGATGGAGAAAAAGTGTTGGATATGTGTGCTGCCCCAGGGGGTAAATCAGTAGCCACACTGCAGTGTGCTTGCCCAGGTAAAGCACTCTACTATTAAATCCAATAAAAGATGTATACATTGTTGGCTAGTTTGTTCCCAAATACTGATTTAACAATTTATTCAAAGGCATTGATAAAGAATGCTCTTGTGGCATTCTTTTTTTCTTGATTTTAGGCTTAAACCAGGAATTAATTTATATCTCGGATATGCTCTAAGTGCCTTGGGAAACCTGTGGCTTGCCTTTGTACTTTGTTAATCTGACTTTCTTGTGTAGGACTTCTACAGTCAAATGAATATGATAACTTGAGATTTCATCGGTTGAAGCAGACACTAGAATCTTTCATTCCAGAATCTTTGATGAGCCTAATTACTGTTTCTCCAGCTGATGGAAGAGAAATAGGAAATCTTCAACCTGAAAGGTTTGATAAAGTATGTCTATATTGGCTAATAATTTCATGGGGGCTAAGTTTTTCTCTTAGTTAACTTTTCTAATTAAAGTGTACCACAGTTCCCCATGATGGCTCTTTCTTCGTAGAGCAAAAGCAGAAAAAAAATGCTATTTATTAATTACATTTTTATTTTTCATTCAGAAATATAGCATTGGTTTCTGTTGGGTCTCCTCTCCAGGCATAATAAGTTAATAGAATTATTTAAAGCTAGTAACTTGGAGAATTTAATATGGCTTGGAGGTCACATAGTCCAGATTCCTGCTCAGTGCAGGACCAGCAATTAAAAATATAATTACAGTAACTTTTAATAATAGCCAAAGGGTACTGTGTATGTGTGTCTGTGAGTGTATGTATTATGCATGTATATGGAGAGAGAGAGAGATGGCACCCTGAGTGTTCAGGCATGCAGAATACATTGCATGTACGTCCTAGTTGGTGGGTCATGGGTAAGTCACTTGCATAGAATTGTATGAGTATGCTTGGGGTAAATTTGGCCATCGGTTCATTTTGTAATATAATAGCCAAATTGTGCCCATACTGACAGGCATATTCCTTACCATTAACAGGGAATGCTGCAGCTAGCTTAGAAAAACTAAGTCTAGAAAGAAGTGAAAGAAACTAGATTCAAAGTTAAATAATTGCCAGAAGAGAAAATCTGAAACAGTCTTAAAAGATAGATTAATATTCCAACAGAATAACTGGAAATTAAGTTACAGAATGCCAAGGAGAAGTTTGGAGACATTCCAAATGGAAGTATGAGAAAGATCCTTAATAGCATAATGAAGTAAATGACGAGTCTATGAGAAAAATGCATATAAGAGAATGATTGATCCAAAAAAATGATGGGAAAAATATATTGTATAATGTATGTGTAGAGAAAAAGTTGCAGGAAATGTAAGAACAACCAAAGAAATGTTAAGATTAAAAGGGAAAATGCAGAGTGATTACAATGGAAATAAAATTAGAAGTGGATTGAAAGGGTTGAACAAGGAACTGTCAACAATGAGACTTGGATTAAAAATAAAAGTGATGAAATCATTTGGGTTGAAGCTAAAGCGAGGAAATGCTGAAGGAGTATTTTAGAGATTTGTATGGGAATGACAGTGATGTATTGAATGTAGAATTGAAATAAATGCTCTAAAAATTAGTGTCCTTGATTGTGGAACACCCTTCCTCCTGAAATCTGGCAGGCTGCTACCCTCCTAGACTGCTGGAAGGCCTTGAAGAGCAGGCTTTTCCCACAAGCATTGGGGCAGAGTGGGGCTGGAGCCTAGCAAAACTTTATGTTGATATATGCAGGAGTGTTTGCTTTGGAGTGCCAGGAGGTTTTGTTATAGTTTTATGGTTTTGGATTTTTAATGTTTTGTGAGCTGCCCAAGTTATGGCACAAAAACTGGATGGCCGTATAAGTCTTTTAAATATCATATATCGTATCATATCATATATCATATCATATCATATCGTATAAATGCTGTGAGATTGAACTGTGGAACGTATTGTGTGACCATTTGTGTGAGTTGAAGGTTGGTTGCTGAGTATAAGTGTATGATGGAACAAAAGCATGTATGAGAATAAATGGAATCCTTAGTGAATGGTTTGACATTGAGCTAGGAAGGCGTGTGTATGGTTCTCTTTAGTTGCTTATATATTTATGGACAAATGCATAAGGAGGCTTGGGATGTTACAGGTGTGGTGATGGGAAATGTAATGTTTGTGCACTTTTGTGTACAGTTGTGTGTTGTTGTCTAAGAATCCAAATGATTAGCAGTGAATGGTAGATATTGTAGGAAGGGAATCTATGGTACCAAATATCAGAAGAAGTCTGGTAGCATCTTTTCCAGCTAACATATTTTATTAAAACTGCAGCTCTTGAAAGTTTATCCTTTCAGTAAAATTTATTAGTTAGAAAAAATGCTTTCAGACTCCTAGTAAATGTTAGATTGTATGGTGCATCAAGGGATTTAGGTCTGAAAATGAATATATCAAAGACCAAGGTAGATGTATTTGACAAGGAAAATGATGTGAATAATTGCAAGTTATACATACAGGTATGTCATCCTGTGGCAATTTGCAACAGAACATTAAACTTCAGCAGCTTCAGTATATAACAGTTCCATAAAACAATACAAGCAATACATAATATCAGTGAAACAATACAAATACGTATACATATACATCCAACCTAGCAATCTAAAACATAAATTGTCAGTAGTAATTTGCTAATTAAGAAAGAAACATATACTTATAAATGTGTACTATGTTTAGACTTTTAGCCACTTTTATCCATGACTGGATATTCTGGGAGCTAAAATCCATCTCTTTTGGAAGGCCTTGTGTTCTAGAGTATGACATAGTAAGAAGTATTTCTAAACTTTTATACTTCCATAAATATATGCTCAAGAAAATGTAGTGCTTTGTTGTATTTATACAAAATATACATGCAACTTGGAATGCAAAACGATGTTTTTAATATATAAGCCAGTGCCATTACTTCAGATATATTAAGATTTTTCATAACATTTTGCTATCATTTGGGAAAGTTTAGCCTTGATAAGAGAAAATTAAGGAGGGATTTGATAGCACTTTTGAAATACTTGATGTCACCGAAGAAGGTTACGATCTGTTCATCATTACAGGCTGCAGGACTTAATGGATTTAAGTTCGAGCAAGACAATATCTAACAGATAGTTGAAAAACTTCCTAACAACAAGAGCAGTGTCACAGTAGGACCAGTTACCCAGACTTGTTCAAGTGGTGGTTAGATAGCCATTTGTCAGAAATGCCTTAGTTTGGTTGAACTAAATGGCCCACTTTAACTCCATGATTCTGTTTTGTCATTCTACTAAAGCTCTTAGTCTGAGTAGCTCCTATGTTCACTTTATTTTTTGTTGTTGATTATTCAGATCCTAGTGGATGCTCCTTGCTCAAATGATAGAAGTTGGTTATTCTCTTCTGATACCCAGCAGGCTACTCTGCGCTTAGCACAAAGGAAGCTATTATCTGCTGTACAGATACAGCTGCTCAGGTAAAACTTGTAAAGAAAAAGGAACTGCTCATTCCCAGAATGAAGGACATGCTAAATAATATTCTGAAACTCTACATCTCTTTGACCCATGTATTATCCTCTCCGTATGCAGTCACACTGAGCCAGTCATTGTTCCAAAAAACATAGAACTACACTGCTTTCTCATGGTAATTACCATGGTGTATAGAGAAGGCCATTCAAGTCTTCCTGCTGAGTTATTTCACATTTGTAACTAGGACATTCACAAAGGGTGGAGGACGGGAAAACACTGGGTGTTCATATCTGTGTTTTAATGTACTTTGAACAACAACAAGTCAATGCGTGTAACCCTTTTTTAGAAACACCTTATACAAAAATGTTATTTGCAATTCTTAAGTTGTAGTGAATAAGTAAAAGTTGTGAATATCAAGTGTCTGTTAATCTAAAAAGAATTCAGGTGAAGAAAGCAATACAGATAATCCTCAACCTACGACCATTCAGTCAGCGACCATTCCAAGTTAGACAGCACTGAATGAATGGTGGTTACAACTGGTTCTCAGAGTTCCAGCTGTCCCAGCACCCCATGATCACGTGATCACCATTTGCAACCTTCCCCCACCTGCACACCCTCCCCAGCCCTTCTGTGCTCATGCTGCTCTGGCCACTCATGCTCCCCCTCACAGCTTCCCCAACCTGTGTGGTGCCACTCATGTATTTGCACCCTTTCTGACCTTCGTAGCACTTCTTGCACATCTCTCACACCCTCCCCAACCCTCCCCATGCTGTGCCTCTCACACACCCTCCCCAATTCTCCCCGCATACCCCCTTGTTCCCTCCCCCACCCGGCTTTACGACTGCTTCGCTTAGCAATGGAAATTCCAGTCCCAGTTGCCGTCATAAGTTGAGGACTATCTGTATGACGGATCTAAGCCAATCTTTGTCCCTAACCTGCTTCTCTTCTTGTGTATTGGATTACAATTCTTAGAACTAGTGAGCAATATTGTCAAGGAATTAAAGTCCAGTACATCAGGAGACCATCAGGTGGCAGTGTGGATTCAGGCATTGGTATGGAATGGAAACTGCACTGGTCACTCATATGGATGATCTGTGATGGAACTTGGCTAGTGGCAGCACAGCCTTCCATGTCTTAATCTCATCAGCCTTCAATACTGTCAACCACAGTATTCTGAGTGGCGTACAAGGATTGGAAATTGCACTGTTCTGCGTTGGTTCCATTCCTATCTGAGCAGGTGAATTTAGTCAGTGGTATCAGAAGGGAAGAGGTTGAATACATCATGGGATGTCCCAGGACTCAATTCTCTCTCCGGTCCTGTTTAACATACATTAAGCTGCTGAGAGAGGTCATCCGCCAATTCAAGTTGAGATGTTATAAATATAAGATAAAGCCCAGTTATATATTTCTGCCTCAGGCCAAATGGATGATGTAGTTTGGGTGTTGTACTTTGCCTAGAGTGCTAGTTCATTGAGGGGATAAATTCCATAAACAAATAAAAACAAATAAAATCATAATAAATTACATTCTCTAGCAGAGGAATATATACAAAGGGGGACAATGCACGTTACTATTACCAGAATTTTCTCTTTCCCCATAGTGTGATAGAATGGGCAGCGTCTGACATAAACTGGGAGACATATTCTTAAATGTATTATATATATAAAACTAATCATATAAGCTTCACATATAAAGTGTCAGTTGTTTCAGTTAGTCTTTCTTCCCCTCCCCACCCCAGCTGGAAAATTCTTTGTCCCTATTTCCAGCAGAATCTCAAGATTTCATTTTCTATTTCTATTTAAGCAATCCATAGTTACTGCTAGCTACAGTCTGAATCCTGATCACACCAGACTTTAATTTATCAAAATAAGAATGAAAGTTTCCCAAATCTGTTTTGCTGTCTTTGGTTCAAATTCTTAGCCATGTTATAAAGTCCAGCAGTATGTCAGTCATGTTTACATAAGCTGATCCTTTGTCAGCAATAACTAAACAAGAGACAATTGAAAGCAATGTGATAATTCATAACATCTCTGAAGGTTGCCTGGCTGTTCCATGACTGTCAAGTTTCTAAAAACCTGGGTGGGAAAAGTTCTAGCTACATCTCTGAGTAGAATTCAAAAGAAGGACAAGACAGCTGTGATTGTTAGGCCATTTATGGTTATGCTAGGTTTATTTTCTTGATGAAATTCAACAGGAATGAACACCTTGGGATAGAGATAGCAATAGACCAGAAGTGTAATGTCCCAGAAGCTTTGGGGAATGTTTTCTTAGCCTTTACAAGGGGTCCACCAAATTATAAATGTTAATGTTACTGAACTATTTGATGTCTATTAGCTAATTAAAATACCCAATTAATTATTAAGATAGCCAGTTTGGTGTAGTGGTTAAGGCACCAGGCTAGAAACTAGGATACTGTGAGTTCTAGTCCTGCTTTAGGCACAAAGCCAGCTGGGTGATGTTGGCCCAGTCACTCTCTCTCAGCCCTAGGAAGAAGGCCATGGCAAACCACTTCCAAAATTTTGCCAAGAAAACTGAAGGGACTCATCCAGGTAGTTGTCAGGAGTCAACACTGACTTGAAGGCACACACACACAAACACACACACAAAGCCAATGAGCTGAAATTAAGTTTCTTTGTTCTAGATCCACTCATTTCTTTGCCTTGAATAATTTTTGGAGCTACCCAAGGGCTGAGTACAGCCTCTGGTATGAAAAATGTTTTGTGCCCCTCTTTGGATTAACTTCTTTTGGATCCAACATTATTGCCCTGTTCAGACAATAAGCTTGACAGAGTTAAAAGGGGCAGTGAAAGAGCTATGCAAAGTGAGAAAAGGGATACATTGACCCAGACTGTTAGAAGTTAGCTTTAGCTTAAGCAGGCATAGATTTGATTTAGATTAAAGTAACCTACATTCCATTCATTTATGTAAACTGATGCTTGAAAGGTCAACTAACGTTTATCTTTTCTGAGATAGATTTGTAGAAACAAGATCTCTCTAAAGATATTGTCTCTGTTACCACTGTTATTTCTATTTCTCTGTGGCCACACTTGTTGGGGGACAGAGCAAAGAGTTACACCTAAAAGTGGATAAGGTAAAACCCCCCCCCCCCAAAAAAAACCCACCCGGCCTTGGTAATGCCAACACAAGACCCAGCCGTCTCATGTGTGTTACTGGTACACAAAGATGAGTCACCTGGCTAGGCAGGACAATTTGCATTATGCAAATAGGGCCAGTGGGAATTGTTCAAGAGCTAAACTCTGCATGTTGCTCCCTTTCTTTTCAAGTAGGGTTTGCATAGAAATCCACTTTAATTTTACAAAGTAGGCCTTTTGTTACTTAATTAGCATTGCAGTTTTGCAAAACATTGGTTGGTCATTGCTAATCATCTCTACATAGTGCAACATATAGTTTAAATAGTATATATACCTTTTAAATTTGTCCTCAAGAAGATTAAAAACTTTGAAATAAGAGCACTCAGTTTATTATTGGTTAAATACTGGTTAAATCAATCTTTAGACACACAGACATTAGTAGAAATGTAGAGCCCTGTAGCATAGTAAGAATATTGCAGCAAGGAGACTAATAAGCAAGTTTTTCCTCTCTTTTCTCTTCCTCAGTAATTTCCTGTATATTATCTATGGCTATTAATCATATTGTACATTTTTAAATACAGTGCTGTGTTTCACCTCAGAAGTATACCCATTGTCAGCATGAATTGAGAGAGAAATAAAATAGTTTCTTTTCCAGGAAGTAGTGCTTTTTATGGAAAACTCTCATAACAACATCACAAAAAGGGTTGGGAGGTTTGTGTTTTTCTACTCCTTTGTCTTAGGAGGGAGATACATGACTTCCTAACAAAAAAGAAAGCCTGTGATTTATAACCAAAATATGAGTGTCTTATTGCAGTAATGCATCATGTCACCCATTTCCTTTGTAGAAATCAATCACATTTAAAAACATTGACCTCCTTCAGTTTTCTCTTTCCAGTATTTGACATATGGAATCCAATTTGTGGACTCCTGGCTTAAGGAAGCATACATCATTCAGTGAAATTTTTGCAAATTTGTATAAATCATTCTAAATTATGACCCTAAAATGGAACATTCTTGACAGCAAGAACCTTGTTGGCAGAAAAGAAAAAATCCTAGCAAGCTGAAATTGCCCATCTCCCCAAGCATATTTAATCAAATTGGATCCTGTTACCTGGAAAAAAAAATTGGGATTTGATAAAACAGTACCAAGCTAAGTGAACAATACAGCAATAGCTAATTTTCACCTTCTTCCTCTGGTGTCTTATTGTATCACTGTTGTACCTGTGGACTTCAATGGCCAAAAAGCTTTAAAATGTCCATAGGTCAGCCCTTGATTACAAAATCATTTTCCATTCTCCTGTATTATTTCATGATTCTCCTCTAGGATGCAATAGAAAAGTACGACCAGGAAGTTTGTTGCACTCCCTTTATGCAAATGGAATTCACCAAGTGCTCATTTCAGAGTTTAATCTTGAAATGGGAAAAAAAATATTAACATTAGTTTCGTTGCTAAGATTGAATATGAAATTTACTAGAGAGCTCCAAGTTTAAGATTTGGAGGAGGTGTGAATTATCACAAATGAAAAACAGCTCCCCAGTGTCATAAATCACACAGTGGAAATGTTATGATATGTTAAGGGAGATTAAATACATTTTACAGGTTTTTGAGAAGGCCTTTTGGACCTATGTTATAATACTAGTAAAAAAGTATATATTTTTTAAATTCTTTCTTTCAAGTACATTCTGTATCATTACCTGTCATATATTGATACAATCTTACCATTTGCTCTTAATATTTACCCAAACGTTGTTTCCTGAGTACTTCCAGAAGACATATAAAGAAATAAACAGACCCAATACAGTGCAAGGTTTTAAGTTTGAGACTGAATGTGTCTCTGGAATTCACTGTTTGCTGGAATCATATCACATTTCACTTATCAGTATATTTCATTATTATATAATATACTATAAAGCCATCATACTCTTCCCTTTTGGGTAAGCTGAAGGTATTAGGCCTAATATAAGAAAAAGAAAAGCAAACATAACTAAAATTCACCAACCCCATTTATAATGGCCCTCAGGATCTTTCTGTTACAGTGGTGATCTCTGCTATAAAATATTTGTGAATCTCCTGAAAATAAATATAGTATTTGCAATTGGTTCCCCTCTACTCTTTAACAAACTAAAGAGCTACAATCCTTCTGATCCAATAGAGACTTCCATTGGAGAAAAAATACTGCATCTTTTTTACCTCCTTTCTGAGACTCCATGAATTCCCCACTGTTCGAAAGGATCATCCAAACTTATGAATAATTTTCAGAAGTGCTAAGATCTTGAAAATCAGGAAAAAAAAAATCTTCCCCTCTGTACCCTGGATACCAATTCTGTAGTGATCCACAGTTCACTGAGAGTTAATACCACTACAGAGCCCTAGTTAGAACAGTGTTTTTATGTGTTGACTACAACCCCTAAAAAAGATAATTGGGGATACAGGTGGGTTGCTTGGAATAGCGAGGCTCATCAGCTGAGGATAGGTTTTCTTCATAGTGGGGCCACAAATATGGGACTCCCCAGTGAGATGCTAGAACTGCCTTTCATACAGGTGTTTAATCCAGCTTTAAAAATATCTTTTTCAGCTGGCCTTGACAATGTCTAATTGTGTAGAATCAATTTGAATTTGAATTTTTAATGACTTAAATAGTAATTTAATCAAGTTTACTTCGACAGCTGTTTTAATATGCTTGATTTTTGGCATTCAAGACCCAGAGACTTTGGTTTAGATACCTGATAACTAATGTTCCTTTGCTAGTGATTGTATAACAAAAAGAATATAATGCTTTGCAGAGGGAAACAGTTTCCTATTAATTATTTACCATTGCATTTTAACCTGAATTCTGTTTTTGTGCTGCCTTGGGGCCTGGCTTGGCTGGGGCCCTAGAGGATTACAGCAGAACTGTTGTTGATGGTTCTTTGCAATGCCAGATAAAGCAATTAAAACATTGGCAAGGGTCTATCAGGGCTTCCTAAGAAATGACTTTTAAAATGTCTGGCAAACCTAGTCTTTCAGCAGCTGCGTCTCCACGTGGTTATGACCCTAAATTGTAAAAAGATCCAAAGGTCTTTATATAAGACCATTTCTGCATAACTGAAGGGACAGTCAAAGCAGAAGAAAAGTTACAGTCAGTCTGGAATTGAGGGGAGGCCTGTGCCTAGGAAGTTAGAGAAGGAAATGTTGAAGACTTGATGTAAGCAAAACTTTCTTGTGCTTCAGTTGCATTGTCTCAGTGCTGCACAGCCCCATGATAAATTGTATGTTGTGGATACAGAATGGAGTTTCTTGCATCTTCAGATGAATTTGTTAGGAGGAGTAGCAGGCCATTACTACTAGAAAATGAAATCGAATTACTGTGATGTGAAGACACCAGGTTGATCATTAAAAAGAGGAGGGGGAAAACAGAATCTCCCTTTTATAAGAAGGAATGTAGGGATGAATGTCAATGTTATTTCTGGCTTGAGTGGCATAGAACAGGTTTTCCCTGCTGATCAGATCCAGTTCTGCAGTCTCAGAAAATAGTTTCTGCTAATTGAACACAAGATGGCAGCGTTGAAGTATGACACACTGTCCTCATTATTTGCCCTAATTTTTTTTTCTTTTTTAATATGGAGAATAGATAAATTAATGACATAGTTAATCTTGGCCATTCTAACAGAATACAGAACATGTAATTAGTCTCTGAAGGAGTGGGCTGAGAAAGTGAAGCTTGTTACATGAATTGCTATGTCGTTTCTCTTATTTCTTTATATGTATGCCTGAATCTTTTTACACCTTATACTTTTAAGTGTGAGTAGGTGACCCAGAGATAAAACTGACTGTCTAAACACAAGTATGGCAACTGTCACAAAGTTTAATTTATCATACAGTGAGGTGTTTGCTTTTTGGCATTTTGCACTAAACAGTATTTGGGGGAAGGTGGTGAATGTCTTGAATTTTTCAGAATTGCTGAAAATTTGAAGTGATAATTATATGTTCCTTCCTCTCCAAAGTATTGCTTTTTGCCAGTTAAAATTAAGTAAAACTTTCAAGACTGATTTATTTTATTTTTTAATTTATTAATCAGATTTATATCCAACCACAATCATGGACTCTCAGCTGCCCATAAATAGGAACATTAATGTAATCATAAATAATGAAGAAGTGCAATAGAAAACAGTATCCCAAACACAATACCTGGGGTCAACCTTGAAACACCCTCCAGAAAAGCTGTTTTCAACTGATTCTGGAGAGCAGATAATGCCTCCCACAGGAGGCTATTCCAGAGAGCTGGCTCCATGACAGAAGAGCTCTTGTGTCTGGGTTTCCACCTCTGACCTCCCAGAAGTGAGGAAGAGCTAGCTGCTTCTCCTGGTCCAAGCAAAGTGGTCAGGCCAACTCCAATGAAAAGATGGAGTCCTGCAGGTGATCTGGTGCCAAGACATAAAGGGCTTTGCAGATTAAAAACAGCACTTTCAATTGTACACAGAAGCTAATAGAAAGTTAATGTACGGCTATAAACAGGTGCCCACCAGTCAGTAACTATGAGCACCGAGACCACTACATTTTGCACCAACTGAAACTTGTGGGTGGTCTTTAAATGCAGCCTAATGTACAGTATACTGCAGTAATCTACATGAGTGGCAATGAGGGCATGATAGTCAGGGCCTCCATCCCAAGTAAAGTCTCAACTGGCACCCAGATGAAGCTGGGTGAAGGCTCCCATGGCCACGGCCTCTGCTTGCTAATTCAGCAGAAATGGCAAGTCCAGGAAGTCCTCTAAGGCACAGACCTACTCCTGCAGAAGGGACAAGGATCCAGCCTGCAGGTGGTCAAGAACATCCTAGAGAAAACCTTATTCACTTTCTCAGAAATAACACACACAAAAGAAACCCAGGTAATACAGTAAGATAAGTGCCTCAGTTGGACAAGACATGCCCAAGACTGCTGTGTATCTTGACAGCTGCTCTGAAATAAATATTTCTTGTCCAGTTGATTTCTGTAGTATAAATCCATATTCTTAAACTTCTCTTCCTTGTAGATGGACCTAATTTGGTCTATTTAATTTTGGGTTAGTGTGGTGGGAGAGTCAAGTATTGTTTTTTTATAAACCATGATTAGTAGGTTAGTGTGTTTTAATAGCCAGTTCAGTAAACCATGATCAAAACAATGATTTAGGTTGATGTATAAACCCAGTCTTTTCTCCCCTCCTTTCTCTAAGCCATTCTTTTCCCCAAAGCTTATTATTGGTTTAACATTTTGTCAAAGTTTTGAAAACAATGGGTAGTTTATCTCATATGGGCAAAAAAGCAGTATTTTTCTCCAACATTTCACTAATGAATTCTGTTGTATGTATTGGTTGAGAATTAATCATCACATGTCATTGCTGAAATGTTGAGCTTAAACCACATAAGCTGTATGTGTTGTGGCAGCTGAAGGTTCTAAGTGTAAATATGTATGCGGATAAATGATAGAATATTTATTCTTTTTTGCTCTGTTTTGTTGTTTTGTTTTTATTGTTTAACAGATCTGCAATTAAAGCTTTGCGTCCTGGAGGATGTCTCGTTTATTCTACATGCACTCTTTCCAAGGCAGAGAATAATGACGTCATAAATCACATCCTTGATTCCTGCAGCAATGTTTTGCCAGTGGATTTGCACACCCTAGTCACTTCAGTATCCAAGGAATTCACTTTTGCTGCCAATGTCCAACAGCATGAACTTTTAGTACTTCCAGAAAGAGGGAAAGCATGGGGACCAATGTATATATCTAAATTAAAGAAAGTGTGATTCATGAAATGCTTGTACAGTTCTTGTGAATCATAACAACAGGTTTTTTGGGGGTTACAAACATCTTGTGATTCATCTGACACATCTGACAAATAATATCTATCAATTTTAATAAACCTTTGTGGGTTTTTTCCAAACTAAACTTCTTAAAATATTTGAGAAATTGTGTAATTCAAGTAGAGATGTTTCTATTAAATCCAATAGTCATAATCCAGCAATAGCTGTGGATACAAGAATTGGAACTGTTTTCCATTTTGGTATAAATCTAATGCTTCCAGGGGGAAATCAGTCTAGTTTAAAACAACACAAAACAAAGCAATCTATTCTGTAATTTATTTCAGTTTCTAGCTATTGGAAGTAACTCTTACGTCAGTTTCTAGCTATTGAAAGTAACAGTTTTTCCCTGTTTTTGTGGCCAATTGTTGGATGGAATATTCAGAGAAAAGTTCCGAGTGATAACCAGTCTTGAATGTGTAACTTATTATGTTGAAAAACACTGATTTCAAATCAAAGTATATTCAGTGTTCAGTAATGCATAGGTTCTTCCTGATAGCCAGAGGATGACAAACAATGCTGCTCTTTAAAGCAGCATGATTTCTCCTTCCAGCCCAAACAGCCAGTACTACCCAGAACCTCCCTTTTATCTCCAAGACCTATCCAGACAATTGGAAGACATGCTGTACATGTGGTTGTTCCTCAGTTCTCAGCTACTGTTCCATTTCTTCACCCTTTTTAGTTACAGTACACATATTCTAACGGGATAATATAATAATTTAAGATGAAAAAAAAATACTTAAGGCATTTTCAGTTAGATCTGGAAACAGCAGCTTATCACTACTATAAGTTAATAAAAGAAGGTGTCACCACTTAACATAATCGGATACATTTATTTTACACACAAGCGCATGCCAATTTTTCTAGTTCCCCAGATCGCATGTCTCTTAAGCTAGTTTCTGTAACTGAATGAATGGTAAGATATGACAGTTCAGCATTCAGTTCCTGGATATAGTATCAAATGTTTTCTTTTTAAAAACCAAGAAAAACATAGTTAATATATGTAAATGAACCTTTTCTAATGAGGATATTCTATCTTCAAGCAAAATCAGTCTGCAGCAGCAGGTTGTTCCTGCAAGTGATTGTTTTTGCCACTCCTGGAAATCACAGATTATACTGAGATGATGTTATTTCTGCTACATTCTACTACTTTCAGAATGTACAATAGGGGACTTGTGCTGAAAGCACCTTTCAACAGCTGATCACCAGCAAATGTGGCACTTTGGCGTGCAGCTTTGGAGATAAATGTGGTTTAGCTGGCAGTGACAAAGCAACTACTCAAATCTAGGATGAGAAATAGCTATATTCAACATACAGTATTGCATGGGCATTTCTACATAACTACCACTGTAATTACTGATGTAAGCGAACTACAGGTTTGTCCAAAATGATGTTAGCTCTGTTCTGAATAAACCGTGCTCTAAAGCAGACTTCTCCAAACTGGTTCTTTCAAAAATGGGCTGTTCTGTAGGAAATGTATATCCAGTCGCTTTTTTACACAAGACTATATTTTCCTGTAGCCGGTGTGCTACACTGTGTATACCGTATTGAGGTAGATTTGTCAGAATTCCAGTTCTTAAAATGTATTCCCTTTCATGTAGAGATGTACTTGCATCTTACCATGGAATTAAGTGATTTGTGTACCTGCATCTTGCCTTGGTGAGTGGTAAGAAAGTTGCAGAAATAGTAGCTGTAGAGTCTAGTTCTTTTGAGAACAACAGGGAAGGCTTTGTATGCCTACACTAGCTGCTAGTTTATTCATTTATTTGTTTTGCTTACATGCTGCTGAACCAACATGGACTCAGAGCATTTAACAAAACAGTTGACAAAAACGTCCATAGTTAAAGTATTCATGGTAAAGATAATTTAATTAAAGCAACCAATAGCTAATCAAAGATAAAACAGGAGGAAACCTATATTAACAATGATAATAAAACAATCATAACAAAGCAAGTAGAATAATTTCAACAACTGAATCAGTTTAATTCAAAGTAAAACAAATTGAAGATGGCGATAGCGAACTTTTAACAAACACTCTTAAGATCCGGCAGGAGTAGCTTCCAGAATGTTAGAAGGAATGCAGCAAACAGTTCTAAGAGGAAGGTATTCCACGAAGCTGGAGTAGCTGAGAAACAGTACTTCCTGGCCTTCATTCCCTTTACAAAAGTGGGGTAGGACCAAAAGCTCCCTGGAAAAATGTACTGGATGAGCTGATTCAGGTAGGAGAAGGTTGTCTTGTAGGTAACTAGGCACTCAGCAATATAGAATTTTATAGGTCAACACCAACACTTGTTTAGAGATTGAACACAAGTTTCAACAATGTTTTTATCCAAACAGTATATTCTATCAATGCAAGTGTAGAAATGTTTGTGTACTTTCCAGCATGTATCCTAAAATACTGATAGTATTTGGAAGCATAACTTTTATGTAGAATTATTTTTGTTTCAATCAATATCAAGGGGCTATCAACTTCCTTTAAAATAAAGGCAGGTATCCTTTCTTTCCATACATTATTAGCCTATTATAACATTTAAGGTCCTCTTCTGAATCCAAAGTCAGGCTCTAAAAAGTCCTGTTATCTCCAACTGGGGGAAAAAAATGTAATCAAATATTTTGTTTTATATACCTTTGGGTATCCAAAGAGGGATCATCATTTGACTCCCTATTATTAAAATGTATCATTTCCATTTAGTGCTGTCCCTTTTTGGATAACCTGGAGTTGAAAAAGAAAGTCTATTCAGAATCTTGTCTTCAGTTCCTGTCTTTCACTCCTTATGAAAATGTAAGTATTTCATTTATAAGAGGCTGTTTCTATGGTGATTTAAGTAATAATAGATATTGACCTTAGGACATATCCATTTTAACATTGGAAGGATTGATAATGAAGCTCAAGCTCAGATACTTTGGTCACCTAATGCGAAGAG